AGACAGTACATGCTCTTTTTAAAAATATTACAAATAGGTATGTTTATGCCCAAACATAATAGGTAGGTACTTACTTATCATCTTAATTAGGATCGAAATTACAGTTGTTTTTCACACTTTCTATTACTTAATAGTAGGTAGGAATTCTAGTAGTAACCAAAACCAAGTAAGTTATACACAGTCTGTGTAAGGTAGATTTAACTTTATTGTTCGTTAGTTGGATTGAGACAGTACATGCTCTTTTTAAAAATATTGCAAATAGGTATGTTTATGCCCAAACATAATAGGTAGGTACTTACCTATCATCTTAGTCAGGATCGAAATTACAGTTGTTTTTCACACTTTCTATTACTTAATAGTAGGTAGGAATTCTAGTAGTAACCAAAATCAAGTAAGTTACACGCAGTCTGTGTAAGGTAGATTTAACTTAATTGTCCGTTAGTTAGATTGAGATAGCATATGCTCTTCTTAAAAAAATTGTAAATAGGTATGTTTGTGCCCAAACATAATAGGTAGGTACTTACCTATCATCTTAGTCAGGATCGAAATTACAGTTGTTTTTCACACTTTCTATTACTTAATAGTAGGTAGGAATTCTAGTAGTAACCAAAATCAAGTAAGCTGTACGCAGTCTGTGTAAGGTAGATTTAACTTTATTGTTTGTTAGTTGGATTGAGACAGTACATGCTTTTTTTAAAAATATTGCAAATAGGTATGTTTATGCCCAAACATAATAGGTAGGTACTTACCTATCATCTTAGTAAGGATTGAAATTACAGTTGTTTTTTACACTTTTTATTATTTAATAGTAGGTAGGAATTACCAATAATACTTTATATTAATAATAATACTTTTACATTACTAATAATAGTAGTAATAATAAATACACATTTTATATTAAACTGTATTATCACGTAAAACATTTTAGAATATGAAAAAATATTAATTTGGTTTTAATAAGGTAGTTTGGTTTTAATCGGAAATTCAAACCAAACTACGTATCTTTCGGAATAGGGGGCAGGTGGTTATGAAAGAAGCGAAGGTTAGTATTGTTGGGATTATAGATAAGTAGACTTTTTGGGGTGGTATCCTCAAATGAAACTTAAATATATTTTTATTATTTAAAGTGCTTAATTTCTACTAAAAATCTTATTCTCATTAGGCCAATTTGCTACTAAAATCCAGAAACCACCCCTGATAGGAACAAGATTTCTAGTAAAAATAAATAGACAAAAAAATAGTATGAAAAACCAATACTCAGAAACTAGAAACCATTTTACAACTTGTGTTGTGGATGATAAAAATTAATTTTTTTTTAAATGTACTACCACTCTATTTTTTTCACTACTCTTTATAGTGTATAAACTATAACTTCATATTTTATGTAAACTATGTACCTACCTACCAATGTAATACCTATTATTATTATATATCATAGTAATTTGGTATCCATTAATTACATAATAGAGAAAATGTGTTTGGTGTCCGGAATACAAATATGTTAATTTATGTCATTTAGGAGTAACTAAATAAATCATTGTTTTTCTGTCTCTCGTGTAGTTTTTTTTTATTTTACAAATAAACATTCGGTCATTGTTGTAACCACAATGAACTCAAATTATATGATGCTGGCTCATAAAACAATCCAGCCATTTAAAGTCTAAATCCCTATTTGCATATTGTTCAGGTTTGTAATATTTTTAAATCATGAGCCCCGTTTATAATAATCCATATTTTAAAATTGTACACAATTTAAATACGATAAAAAAATATCTGTTGCGTATAAAAAAGTATTTATAATTACTAAATTAAATATACTTACTTGTATACTTAGAAAAAAAAAAAAATATTGCAACTAAATTTATCTAAATAGATGTTAAATAATAATAACAATTTAATATTAATGCATGGTTTTTAATATAAACTTAAAAACCATGTTACATAAACACTTATGTCAACATGTTTAAATGAATTTAATAAATACAAAAGATAAAAAGATTTTGGATTTTCTAGTACTCTCTAATTTATGTTGGTATTTAAATGTAGTACCTATTTAATGCCAGTGAGGTGTTAACTATTCAACGTAGGTACTTGCCAACTCCCAACATAATTGAGTACACACTTCAGTATTTGAATAACCAATACAAACAATAATAACCTTCAAATAATTTTAGT